CATATATATAATATAATATACGTATATGTACATGTATATGTATATGTATATGTATATATATTATAATATAATATATATATATATATATATATATAACGATCGTACGTAGGGGTGTTCATGCGTGTACATTTAATGTGTATATATACTGGTATATAGAATCATTCGTAGATTTTTTCTTGCCTATTGTATATATGCAATATATTTACCTACTCGTATATATGCATGTGTGATTTGTACTCGCACATCAATATACATACGACGCTTTCAGAATACCACTCTTTGCCACCGTGTGCATAACTAAGCGAAACCTACCGTCTCAATCTCTCACATATACCAGACAATGCGAACGGGATGATACAAGCACGCACACGCAGCACACATAACAACGTATGTAGCAGTTATACGTACTTATTAGTCAGTCCATCGGCCGAATGCAGCTTGTTTGCGGTTACAACCTTCCCGTAGTGTAGACCTATCAGTACTGTGGCTATGCACGCTATGCTGCTGAGCGATCCCTCTGTAAGGCAGAGACAGGCGAGTGGGGTCAGAAGAGGTGTGTGCCTATACACCCACTAGAGTATGTGTATGTGATATGAAAGGGTAACGGTATCAGAAGCTGGGCCATTGGTTAAGCGTGTGCACACGCGTGAACACACGAACAAGACATGTGTACACACTCGCAGACACACGAACAAGACATGTGTACACACTCACGTACACAGATGATCAGCCATAGTATTGGAGGTGGTACGTATCTGTACCATTGGTTGATAGGGTGCACTCGCATGGGTCATGTGCTATAACCAAATGAGTATCAGCATTCGTGTGATATAACCAACATTACATACAGGCGATATATATATATATATATGTTATACACCCATAATCACAAATAAATACATAATACAAACATGAATGTAACGTGGTATACACATATGTATATAAAGCGCACGTGCTAGACGTAGACATCCCTGTTTAAAGACGCACCTGGATCATAAATATGGGCTCCACACCATACCGGCGCAGTGTCAGGTGCAGGACATTCACCTGGCGAGCAACTAGAGCACACCTCCATTGCTGTGCACATGATAAGCACAATGGGAAGATAAGTACAAAGGGAAGGGAGGGTAAGTACAAAGGTAGAATATAT